AGTCTGGTTGGAAACTTTGAAATGTTAGATGTTTTTCACTTAGTCTGCATTTACTAAAATAAATATTGTGGTTTATATGACTGCTGCTGGAAATATTTGTGTAGGCAGAAATGTTTTTTATAATTTTCCCATTTTATCCAATACTCTTCATTAGTATTTAAGTCTAAATTGATGGTTTTGATGTTCAAGGACATTATGCAGAGTGGATAAAAAGTTCAGGTAGATGTTGACTACTGCTACACCGTGTGTCATGTTTTATAACGTGAGAATTGCCACTACCACAACTATATATTCACTTTCATTAGTACTAATTACCCAATAGTGATCTAGCACTATTTATTGTTGATAGTAGCAGGGTATAGTTTTAATTACTTTACCAAGGCACAATGCATACTATACAGAAATATTTATAGCTTGAAGCCAAAATAGGCCACTTCTGAAGGTGGATGCTGTTTAATTTAGATAAATTGGTTCACTTTTCAGTGGGAAATGTTTTAAGCGAGTTAGACACCAAAATATTGAAATCAATAATACAATCAAATTTCAAAATCTATCCACATCATATAATTCAGTATCGTAATCATCCAACCATTATATAATGCAACAGAATTAAAGTTAGTGCATATTATTTTTTAGTAGTGATTTCACGTCTCTTAAGGAGTTCAGGGTAGTATGCATAGGATTATCCCATTTTAATCTCACAACCACCCCATAAAATAAGTTAAACTCAGAGATCATGTTTTGTCCACAGTCACCCTGTTGGGTCATTAGGATTTGTCTGTTGTTTCTTATACTTGAATTAGGAGAATGTACTACATACAAAAATTAAATATCCTACTGCTGTGTGTGCCTGGAATCTCACTTCAGAACTACGGTGCCTTTATAGTCAGGAGTTCCATAGCATGAACCAAAAGACCAAAGTGTACCTGGCATATGCAGCTGTTTGCTGTTTTCCTGAGTTGGCTGTGGGAACCCCCTGTGGTGTAAACTTGATGTAGTAGTGGGTAGTAATTCATATGTGCTATTCTCTACCACTGAACTAAGGCTATAGTAACAGCAGTAATTAATTTTGTAAAGTGTTGTGGTAGTCTTTCAAGGGCCACCATGGAGTAGGAAACTGAAGTGATTATATTTCCAAAAGCTCTCACTCTGTATTTCTTCCCATTTCTTTTTGTCATCTGGGCCAATTCCTCTTCTGTAAAAATCCCTCCAAGGTAAACTTTCTTTTCATAGCTGTTTAGTGTGGTTTGGAAAAGGGTACAGTTTTCCTAAGGAAGCTGTTTCAGGTATTACATTTGGTTGCCAGTGTCTGAACTGTGCAGAACTTAATATTCCTTTTATGAGCACTCTGTGAACTGTAAATCAGACTCCTTTGCAATGAAAACGGGCATCCAACCATACCTTTTCTGTCAACTCCTCTTTCAGGATACTCATGTACACTTTTGTATATACGTGAACTGGTAAACTGAAAGAGCGGTAGATTCATAATTATACTCACACAGTCTTCTAGGGTTGCTAGCTCCTGGCTATAAGCTCCTGGAGATTTGGGGGTGGAGCCTGGGAAGGGGAGGGACATCAATGGGGTATAATGCCATAGAGGCCACCCTCCACAGTAGCCATTTTCTCCCATGGAACTGATCTCTGTAGTCAGGAGATCAATAGTAATCCTGGGAGACCTTCAGCCTCCCCCCCCCCCAGTGGTAGGCAACCCTAGTCTTCACATGAGGTAGACATGTTTTTAATGTAGATAAAATATTATTGGTAGATAAAATGAGAAGTGGTCTTCATAACTTGAGAGAAATACTTGTGAAAAGTTCCTGTTTCTTGTTCTTAGTAATTACTGAAAGTCTCCACATTCTAGGATGCAGAGAGGTCTTCTGCAACATATTTACAATAGCATCAGCCTTTAGTTGTTGTATATTTTCCGGGCTGTATGGGCGTGGTCTTGGCATTGTAGGACCTGACGTTTTGCCGGCAGCTGTGTGACTGGCATCCTCAGAGGTATAACAAAAAAAGATGGAGTCGTCAATGTGAGAAGAAAAATGGCAGGCAGGTAATTTATATCTACTCAGGAAGGTAGGGTAGGGCTGAGTAGATATAAATTACCTGCCTACCATTTTTCTTCTCACATTGACACAGAGAGGACTCCATCTTTCCGTGTTATACCTCTGAGGATGCCAGTCACAGCTGCTGGTGAAACATCAGGTACAGAAAGGGCAAAAAACTGAACCTTAACACTAAAATTCAGAACCTAACAAAGGTTAGTAAAATGTGAAAAAGAGGACCAATATTAAAAACTACATTTTTACATTTTACTAACCTTTGTTAGGTTCTGAAACATCAGGTACTACAATGCCAAGACCATGGCCATACAGCCCGGAAAATCTACAACTAATGAACTCTGGCCATGAAAGCCTTTGACAACATAGCATCAGCCTTCTTTCTAGTCTCCTACATAGCTATGTTCACTTGCATTAGTTGCACATACAATACAGCACACATTGGTCCCATGGTTTATCATTCCTCCAAATGCCTTTCTAATGACTCTGTTTTCTGCTGTGTAAAATTTTACATTATAACCTTTGTCTTCAAAGATCACTGCATTTCTTACCTGTTGTACTGAAAAATTTTTCTGTAATGAAGAATCACAGGGTTTCAGCCATTTGGAGTGGACCGATTGGGACCAGTGCTTTTTAATTTGTTTAATTTGTTCATAGGTGATCTGGGGTTGGGGTTGGGAAAGAACAGTGTGGTGGCAAAATTTCCTGCTGATATCAAACTATTAATGATGGCAAAAACCAAGGCAAACTGTGAAGAGCTCCAGGAGGCTTTCTCTAAATTGGATGAGTACGTGGTAACATAGCAGATGATGTTCAGAACAAAAAACAAAAATCCTAATTTTAATTATATGCTGATTGAGTCTGAACTGCTGAAACTCAGATTGAAAGAGATTGTGGGATTGTAGTGGAAAATCTCTATGAAAGTGTTGAGAGTGTGCAGCAGCAAAGAAAAAGGCAATGTTCATGTGGAGGAAAATTAGAAAAGGGACTGAAAATAGAACAGCCACTGTGATACGGATCTATAAGTGTGGCCTCATTTGGAATAGTATATGGTTCTGGTGACTGTGGGCTCGTCTGCATTGTCGTTTTTGTCACTCACTTGTCCCTATTGCTTTGGGTGGTCCCCCCCTTTCCACATGTATTTTGCTCCCTCTGGGACTACTAGAAAGAGCAAAACACATGGGGGGGGACCCTGAAGCAAGAGGGACAAAGGAGTGACAAAAATGACAGTGTGGAAGAGCCCTGTATCTCAAAAAAAATAAATAAATGCAAAACCGGAAATAAATGATTAAGGGGTTGGAGTAATTTTCCTGGGAGGAAAGACTGAAGAGTCTTTAGAAAGAGAGAGCTAAGGAGAGACATGATAGAAGTTTATTAATTATGCATGGAATGGAGGAGGTAGATAAAGAGACCTTTTTCTCACTCACGATTTATATAAGTTGGAGGTATCCTATGAAGTTGATGTGCAGGATGGACAAAAGAAGTACTTCTTTACTCAGTGACTTAAATTGTGGAATTCACTGCCAGTGAATGTAGTGATGGCCCTAAATTGATTTAAAAGGGTATTAGATTTAGGGATGAAGGATCCAAAAATGTATAGCGAAGAAAAAATAAACACTGCAGAATTTCAGTTAGTGGTCTGATTGTGAGAAACAGAGCAAGCATCAATGGTAGCGTCTCAGTCAAGAGAAAACGAAGCTGAGACGTTTAATCTTTTAATATTTGTTAGGGTTCAGTTTGTACTTTTAAAATTGATTTTATGTTTTGTTTTTAAATTGGTCTGACCCTCTCTGAGTATTTGCAGCGGGATGTCAGGAAAAATACAGTTCTTTAGATTTGTATCACAGCCCCTAAATACCTGATAGCTACATTTTTGTTCAGAGTGCAGAAGACTGCATTTCAGTGCTGTGTAAGATTTAACAATTTTACTAAAAGTAGGCTCTTGAAACATGCATGGGCTCACCAATCATATCTTTTTTTAAAAGCTATAGTATTTGCTGATTTGAAGTTAACTGTCCATCTCAGAACATATAATTTGATGGACTTAAGTAACCTTTAGCTGCCATTTGCAAGTAGTTTGTTAGACATACCAGTTAGGAATAAAGCATATTAAGGTTGAGCTGAAACATTCCTGGTGTTGTGTGTGTGTGTGTTTCATTTATGCTTTGGCCATATGTTGAAAAGAATGGATTTACTCTTTGCTTAGCATTAGGAAAACATGTTATATGTTGATAAACTTTGAATAAATGGAAAATCGTGGAATCCCTGTTACTGAGTAACTTGAGAGCTGCTCTATTAGAATGGACCATTGTAGGTGCACATTTTTTGAAGTTAAGTATAAATGTTTAGTCAGTCCATGTAGTGCAGTATTCGTCTTGTAATGATCACATTGTTTGCTGGATGCAGGCACCTGTGGAATCTGTTTCCATTAACTTCATATACATGTAATTCCTCTGTTCAGTCCAGAGACTGGGCCCCAGAAAATTGAATATGTCAGAGAAAAGAAATTATGTATATTCTGTCAATGATAGTTTGTTTTGCCCTGCTGGCATAATCATATTTTTAAATTAAATTTATAATTCTATAAATTTTCTTTACATGTTATTCTTGTCCCAAACAAATTCCATTGCTATCAGATGCTTTTCATCTTTCTAAATTCTTCATTCAACGTGCAGATTTCCTTTTTGTGTGCCTTAGATTTTGTGTAGGGTTCCTGTGCATCTTGTTAAATTATTACATTTCTTTTGTTTTTCATGTCCAAATGTTGGTGGTAGTCGCAGTGATACATCCATGGAACACTTCTTGCTTTGCATCAAAATGCATTAGGTTTAACTTTCCTATTATAGTTCCTGTTTAGTACAAGCAGAACCGACTAATTTGATTTGGGGGAGAGGAAGGAATACAGCAAATGAAATCTCTCTAACCTGTTCTTCTCGGCAGAATCTGTTTGGCCCAAAGTTCGAGTTCCATTGAAAGTTCTACGGACCACAGAAAACAAACTGGGTAACCGCTTCTGTCCCTATGATGAGATTGAGACGGAAGCAGTGTTGGCCATTGATGATGACATAATCATGTTGACCTCTGATGAACTGCAGTTTGGTTATGAGGTAAGACAGATACTTCTTCTCAAAGTTTCTCATAGTTGGGGGAATTAATTGTGAATTTGATCTCAGAAGCATTCAGACATTTTTCAAGCAGTGCCAATAGTTCCAGTCAGTATAAAAATGTTTGCTGCTGGTGTGGCAATGCTGTGAATCTCAAAAAAAATTATGACAAGATTTTCAGAGTTGATATGCGGAAAGAACTTCAAGTTGTATTTGTTGGGTCACTTGGATTCTCAAAACTGGTTGTGCTGGTGTTCCAGTACAGATCTGAAGGCCAGGGTAACTTTTTATACTGTTTCAGCATAAGTTTTGATACTGAGGCTAAAAAGTCAAGGCAAGAAAGAAAAGGATTAATCAGTGTGCCAGTTCCTTCAGATAAATTTGTTAACATACTGTTTACCGATGGCTTCTGAAGAAGATGGTAGTTAAAGGTCATACATTGTTAAAGGGTTAACATTGCAGGCCATCTCTTCTCAGCAAAACCTTTGACCTTTTCTCCCTTCATCCCCCATGGATTGAGAGCTCATCATTGGCTGTGCAAGGGTGGCATGTGCAGATTTATGTTGGTAAGCTTGGATAATACCACTGTTGAGTGAGAACATAACATCTCCAAGCCCAACAGAGACACTAAGGTCTGGAGGAATACAGTCTTTAGTATGTTCAGGTGGAAATTTTAACAGTTAGTCCAAGATGAACTGTTGTAGCTATAGTATTCAGAAGAAAGAATAACAAAAAACTGGGGGAGGGAGAGAGATTAATAATACCATATGTTATTCCAGATGGGGAAATTCTGTATGGATTAGCAGTTACATGGACAGCTAAGTTTACATTTTCTTACTTGTTCTGATGAAGCATCTAGATGGCAGGTTCACGTTCTTCTGCTTAGGCAGTGTAACACTCAAATGGGAGTATAGTCAAGTACAGGATACTTGAAGGTATTTATGCATGCCTCTTCTCTTTAAAATAATGGTAACTGCTTTTGTTTTGTGTCATATTAAAAAGAACAGCATGAAATGCACCTAGATACATGTGCCTTTTTCTGTACTGCTTGTATACTTAAGTGCACCCCTTGCAAGGAGGGTCACATGAGAAGCACCAGAATTCTCCTCTGCTCTGTTCTAGAAAGAAAGTATCTCTCTTCTTAAATGGTTGTCAGAGGCAGCCAGTGAATGAACAGGCTGGGCCCTGATCTTGAAATATTCTTAGTAAGTGACAGTACAGTAGGCATATATTTATTTATTCGTGTATTTAGCTGTCATGTTTATATTCTTTTAAATGCAGGATGAAAGTTCAAAGCATTTTAGAAAGCCTCGTATATTTCTAGGGAAACAATAATAACATTTAAATGACAAAACAAATTCAGCTACCAGTAAAAGTCCAATCAATTGAGAAGAGCCTTCCTAAATAATTCTGTTTTCTGTGGAGAGGATTCCCCAGCTGTTTGCCACTACTGAAAATGCATTATCTCAAGTTGATAGAATTTGGAGCAGGATAACACCATTTCTTCTAGTTGTCCCATTTTTACCCTGTCAGGGATCTCTGGGTAACACACGCGGGTCTCTCCTCAACATTTTATCCTCAGAACAATCTGTGAGATATATTAGGCTGAGAGAGAGTGTGTCTGGTCCAAGTTCAGCCAGTGAGTTTCATGATTGTGAACTTGGGTCTCCACAGTCAGGGTCCAGCCTCTACACCAGGCATCCCCAACCTTTTTGAGCCTGCGGGCACATTTAGAATTGTGATAGGGTGTGGTGGGAGCAGCCATGAAATGGCTACCATAAAATGGCTGCTGCAGGAAGCAGAGCCAGGCACAAAATGATTGCCACAGCTTAACTTCAGTCACACCAGGGCAGATCCTTGTGCTGTAATGGCAGCTGCTGCCAAACCAACATTTAAAAGAATCTACACATCCAGTCGAATCTCCAGTAGTCAATGAGAAGCCTTGCTGGGTGAAAGCCCTACCTGGTCCCACCCACTGCCTAAATAAGCTTGGCAGGCACCAGAAAAGGTATCAGCGGGTACCATGGCGCCCACAGGCACTGTATTGGGGACCCTCGCTCTACACCACGCTATCTCTCTCACTTGATTCTGAAGCACAGGAGGCTTCATTTGGGCAAAGGGATTCTTCTGAGAGATGTGTCCATGCTCCTCTTTTCTTCTCGGTTAAACTCCCCTCAGAACAGGGCATAGGTTATGGCAGATTAAGGATGTAACCTGGTAGGACTTTGTTTAGATCCCTCTGTCACTGCTAGTTCATAATGTGTGCTATAGTGTGTTGATTATAGTAGAACCTGCTGGATTGAAATCCAAAATGGGGGTATGGCTGGAATTCAAACAAAAATTACTGGAAACCTTCAACTAAGCTGCTGTTGTAAACTGTGAACTGTGAAAAGTGAACGGCAGCTGGAATTTTCTTTAAAAGTTAAAGAATTGCAAATCGGGGGTGTGGAGAAACGCCATTTTATGTATATGTTTAAGTTGGTGTGGGCCAGATAGGAGGGGACCATCAAACCTGAGGTAGGCCTTGGCCTAGTCTCCTCCTCACCCCCCCCCCCTGTCTCCAACCAGCAGTCAGAGGGCAGCTCCCTAGAGAGGACAGGAAGTCCATCAAGGCTGTGAGGAGATCTGCCCCATAGTGCTGCAGGAGGGAGAGGCACTTCCTGGGCGGGAAGGGCTGTTTGATATAGTGGAGCTTTTGGGCGGGAAGCAGTCTATGGGAATTGAAGTCGGTCTGTCTGAAGTCTGGAGCCAGTCAGGCTGTCGGCTGGAGTCTGCAGGAGGCAGAGGCCATGTTGGGAGTTGTGTTAATCTAACTTCCTCCAATGAAAGCAAGTCATGTGCCTGCCCTGCAGACCATCTAGACAGGGTATGTATAGTGAAGGGAGAGATGAAGCGATTTATTATTCACCTTTATTTTGATTCTTCAGTTCACTGTTAATATGCCTGTATATAGTTGAGTGGTTTCAAAATAAATCCTTTTATTGTTGACATTGAGAAGTCCCTCTGTACCGCATAGTCCCCCCAGCCATTTGGAAACGCTAGGAGTGGGTTGGGGACTCCCTGAGGAGGAGAACAAGGGCAAAATGGCCAGTTGCCAACTCTCCAGGGGATTCCACAGGTGCCTGCATCCAGCGACAGCAGCGGGAGGTTAGGAGGCTGTCCTGCCTAACCAGAGCCCAAGACAGGGACAGTAGTGGCAGCAATACCCGGAGGCAGTGGTGAAAAACTGCCCCTTCAGGTGCCAGGTCAGGCAAAGGAGGGGTGGGCAGAGCGGGGTCTGCCAGCTGACGCGAGCCCGTTCCGCCACAGGGGGTATTACTATCAAGCAAGCCACTTTTTTAGTTTATATAATAGGTCACATCTCGTACCTGAATACTCTAGTATGGCTTTTGTTAGGGTGCTTGTTTCACATACCCAAAGTGGTGGAAGTTGTAGAATAGAAAAGGTAAGTGATGTTCTCAAGGTTACCCAGTGATGCAGCAATGGAATCTGGAATCTGTAACTCCCAGTTCCATGTTTGAACTGCTGAGTCCATTTTACCTATTTTATTTGACTGATGTTGGCCAGATGCTTGGATGATAGAACACTGCCTGTATAACAGCCTGGATATTATTTGTGTGAACTCTGTGCCATTTGGATAAAGCTTCCCCTGTTTTGGCAAACACATCTAAGTCTTGCAACGCTGCTTTTTTTTAAAAAAAAATCCTTCCCCCAATTTATAGAACACTTCTGCCATCTCAGCAGTGCTGATCAGATAGGATTTTAAAGAGTCTTATCAAACATGTCTGAACGGCTGCAAAATGAGTCTGCAGTGTTTTAAAAAGAAGAAAACACAGTTGAATCAGGCTAGTGTGGCCAGCAATATATTTTGGGGAGGGGTTGGGGTGGGGAGTTACAGTTTTCTCTGTAAGAGAGCATAAGGGGAAGTGTGGATAAATGCAGTTTTTACCTTCAACCCCCTAATCGGTGACTGCAGATCAATCTTCCCTGGGCCAGAGTGTCTTTGACTTGTATGGCAGGCTTGAGCTGGCTACCAGATGTTTAACTTGTCCTCAGCCTGCGGTAATTTATTTATCTGTTTATGTATTTCACCAGGAAAGTATCTGTTGCATTTCTGAGTAGTTTGAAAGAGAATGTTGAGGGAACAGTAGCAGCATATAATGTTACCAAGAGGGTTTCTTTTTAAGTGCCTTGCTTCAGTCAAGAGAAACATTTGGAAACGTGCTGTTGGTAACCTTTGTTCTCATGCGCTCTCTCTCTCTCTCTCTCATTCTCCAGACCCTGGTTTTAAATATTTGGCAGAACACTGTAGTAGAACAGGCTTGTCTAGCTATATCGATTAGGGCTCTTTATAAAAAGAAGAAAAGGGGGATGGGGAACAGTTCAATCTCTGTACACTTTCAGCCATAAAAATTAAAGTAATGCTCCAAGTGTCAGACATTTTATCCTTGTTAAAAGTGAACTATTAAGGTCCTTAGTGACTTATTGCATAGTGAAAAACTTTTGAAGCCAGAGCAATGTAGCCCCTGTGTGTTGTTTAATTTAAGGAGGCAAGGAATAGCAACTGCCCTGTGACTAGAGGTGGGAGCTTTGTGAGCAGTCAGAGGACAGTTTTTCAGCATTGTGTTGACAGAACTATTGACAGATACTGTACTGTGTTATTAAACTGTTAGGACTATAAACCATTTCTACTCACTCATCAGCAATTTTTGTTCTTCTTACAAGAAAGATAAAATCGAAAGAGCAAATAAATGTAACATGTATTCAGCCAGTCATAATTTTAAAAATTAAACACAAACTAGACCAGTCTTGCTCTGAACCGCGTTTTTTCATTTTGAGCCACCACCTAGACTGTAGAATGGGAGTACAATACCACAGTCTCTGATAAAACTTATTGTTTTGGGCTCCAAAGTACAATTTTGATAATAGTTTTAGTCAGGGGTCGTTTCGTAGAAAAAGAGCTAGGAGAACTCTTTAGCATGGCTCATTAGCATATGCCACAC